TGACCATTAGAAATAAAAGTCTTCATCTTTTAAATAATAGAGCAAGCTCTATTTGTTACTTTTGCTCTAAACAGATAGATTCCTGACTATTTCTAATATACTTTGCAAGGTGTATACTTTGCCAAAGCATAGGTCAACTACTGTTGTAACAATGTTGTCCTGATGTCAACATTAACCGCTTTTTGATTATTCTTGTAAAAAATTTAAAATTTTAAGATATCACATTTCCTCTTTGGTTTTATCTTGTTTAAACTTCCTTCTACTCTGTTTATTATAAGGTTTTATTCACCTCTGAACCTTCAAAGTACTGCACATGCTAAGCTTTGCTATTCCAAAGCATAAAGTGAGGTTCTATGAAAAGCTAGACAAAATATATTTTTCATTTGACTTTGATATGAATATTAGAAATACAGACTACTTCAGTTCTCACTCTTTTCCAGGCTTCACTGAAGGTGCTCCTATGTTCTTCCTTGAGGCTGAATTTTGTTCTCCTCAGAGAGGTCAATTATGTGGGCTTAAAGAAGTGACAGAAATAATGGCATTGGGAAGCCACTGAAATGTCAGGAGAAATCCTCAAAGGCTTTTTTTCAGGTGAGAGTTGCCAGCGTGATAGAACAAATACACTGCTCAGGAACAGATACTGATGTTCTCTCTTTCATGAAGGCCGTGACACACACTGATCTCTTACTGCAACAGAAACACTGCCCCAACCAACATCCTTCCAACACCCTCAACACTGTGTACTGTGGTAGAGCAAAAAAACAAACCCCCACCTCAGAAGAAGTTTATTCTGTTGAGTTAGTGTGACATTCATAATTCTGAAATACTTTAAAAACAGTTGGTAAAACCTCACCGAAATGTAGCCATGTCTCTCCAGTACTTTCTACATCCCTCCAGCGAGGTTCCCACTACCCCATACCCAGAAGAGGACCTCTGAAGCCACAGTGAACAGTGATGGAGGAGGGGACCAGAGAGGTCAGACCTGGCCCTGCAGGCTCACTCATCTTTTAAAGCATCAGTCTTAAACCATGCAGTGAATCCCCATGACTTTGATACCGGCTGCTGGACAGTATCACAGGTGTACTCTTTCCTCTCTGGTTTAGTTCACATCTCTGATCTCAGAAAACTGGCAGAAGAAATGGTGAAATAGGAAACACAAAAAAGAAAATACAAGCAGGTTAAGATGTCCTAGACAGGATTTTTCCTTGTCTACATTTTGGATTTTCCTTTTTCTTTTACTCTACCCAACAACGACAGGTAGTACAGTAACAAACAGCTCCTATGATGAAAAAGGGAACCAGTGGCCCTTCCAAACACTCCCAGATATATCAAATAATTCTGAGGAAAAATCCATTGATGTAAACTCAGAAGTCTCTCATATCCTCATCACAGGAAAATAGGAATCATAAAATGGACTAACATACCTCTGTTTTACCTCTGAATTTATCCTGCTAAGATAGCAGGAAATCCTAGGAGCAAAACAAAACCTGCAGCCCCCTGGAAGTTGAACTAATGAACCACTTGCAAAGGGAGTTGATCAAAATTAACATCAAACCCAAGAAAATCTCTGCCAAGTACTGCACTGCCATCTTCCTGCTGCAGGCAATACCTGTTCCCCATGGAGAATCCCTGCAGCTGTGCTCCCATTTTCAGTGCATGGAGCTGGTTTAATTCTTTTTGATTTTGACAAGACAAAATCTGGAAATGAAACCTCATCTTGCTCACCTTTTCAAAAGACACGAATAAGGCATCATTTTTGACTTTAACATATGAAGTTCAAAACTATAATTTCAAAAATCTTGCTAGTAACTGAGATGGCTTTTTGGAGAAAAATTCAGATTCTCCAACTAGCTTTCACAGTTATTTAGTCAGTCATAAATATTAAATTATTCACAGTTCATTAAGCCATCTAAAATAAATTTCAACTCACTTTTATAATTCTCATTGCTCATTGTTAAAAGAACAAAGAAAAACACATGAAAAGGCTCTTGTTCTCAATTTCATATTATAGAAAATAATTAATTATGGTATTAAAATAATTACTTAAAATGCATAGAAAAAATCAGGTTATGATTTTGGTAAAAAAATTGGAAAATTTCTCTCAGGACTTTTGCAAAACCCTATCAAACTCCAAAGGTTCTTTTTTTCCTTCATTTGACAAGACATTGATAGTGTATGTTAGAGAACCTGTCTCAAAAAATTCTCAAAGGACAGAATACAAATCTCAAGTGCTGCAGCAGGCAAAATAGGTATGAAAACCTCTTGAGACTGATCTGCCTACACAATTTGCTGTCCTCCTGTTTCTGTTCCAAGAAATACTGACATAGCACTCTTCTATGAAGTTTCTGCACATTTTTCTAGTTCTAATTCTGAGAAATAGTTGAATAAATCTTAAATATAGCAGTATAAAGGGAAAAAAAAAGAACGGATCTCAAACTGATGCAAGCAATCATTAAAAAAAGGATTTTTAAAAAGCCAAGAAACAATGTAAATTTTCATTTGACAATCTGTTTGCAAAACTAGTCTGTCATTGTACCTTTGTTTTCTTCTTAAAGAACACACAGCAGCTTTACACATAATACCTTCCCTGTCAGTGCTGTTGCTTAATTAGTCAATGTGATGTTGAACCTTATGATAAAAATAATTGAGTTGGGGCCTTCAGTCTCAGAAGAGAGGCATCAACATGTAGGGCATTCTCATAAGATACAGCTTCCTTATACTGTGAATATGAATGTGATGGGAAGAAGGGACACCCAGCTATTGTGTAGAGAAGGACTACACAGAACTTCAGTCTCAACTTAGACTAAAAATGCTACTTAGTCTACAGGGCATGCTTACATTTTTTAAATCTTTGTAAGAAATTTGAAATAAATATAAATAAATATATGTACATTTTAACTAGCATTCCCATTATGCAGCAGTTTTTTTCAGTGACTGCAGTTGGCATATGAAACTTATAAAACTTTTTTCTCTCATTCTCTCCTAAACAGTCAAGGGAAAAACATGTGACATGTAATACAGAACTTCTGCATTTAGGTGCAAAATATACACAGATGTGAAAAAGAGTCAAAAAGTCCACCAAGACAGTAATAGAAAGTGATTGTTAAAAAATATTTTCTACAAATGGTGATATATAATTCTACATACAGTATATCTTGATCCTCAGGAAAAGACAGACTTCTCTCTGATGCTTTGTCATTTTATATTCAAATGGAGTAGTCTTTAAGGTGAAAGCAGGGAATTGATGAGACAAAAATATATTACCAGTGTTGTCAATACATTAATATGAAACAAACAAACAAACAGCACTGATGTTTTGAAACCAAGGCCTTTAAATGTTTGATCAAATGTTATTTGTTTCCTTCTTGACAGAAATATAAATTGAAAATAATTTTTGTAGACATAACAAAGTCTTCTACTGTGTTTTGTAATGTGTCAGTTCTGTAATTTAGTGGGCCACTCATCTTTCATTCTCTGCACAAGGAAGAGTAAGCAGTACATTATAAAAACACTCACTTCCTTGCCTCACTTAACTTCATTTAACTTGAATCGTTTCCAGAATAATACACAAAAACAGTGCCTACCACAATTTGTACATGCGAGGTCGTAGTACAGAATTAACTATCAGGAAATGGCACATTTTCTGAAATTTGTATTTCTTTCTGTATTTCTGGAGGACTGAGAACTCACTTCAGGAACAGTGCTGGGCAAGAATGTACTCTTCACTGTGTCAACACATTAAAAAAAATGCTCTTCATGCCATGATCCAGAAATTACCTTCCCCCACAATTTGATGGAACTTGAAAATCACTAAGTAATTTTCTCTAAGTTTTTTCTTCAAGTTTTTTTTCCTTCTGATAGCAAATATTGCATGTTTTCCTGTGATAGAATTTTTATTTTGAACAGATGTAAAAAAACAGTAGACAATACTGCTGGAGTTTCTAGCAGGCATTTTATGAGAAGGAATTTTCTCTTTGTCTTGACATTGGCATTCAAGACGAGTTCCATTTTTTCTTCCTAATTAGCTTTTGCAAGACAATTGTGTGTTTGAAACAAACAGAATACTTTCCCTCAGGGCATCAGAAACTTAATCTTTCCAATTTCCTTTCAATGGACATTGAAAACAAAGCAGTGTATTGTATCTCAGTTGGGAATTAAGAACTATGTGACGCAAAAAATGGAAAAAATATTATGTAAATAAATTTAACATAGATGTCAATAAAAATATAGTCATGAAAAATCCTTTAAGCCACCTTGTTAATACCTGACAGAATTGCCTGTTCACAATAAAGGCTGTCCATCTTTCAAAGGAAGTTAAGACCCAAAATTTATACAGAATTGAGGAATTTTATATTCACAACATACTGAGTAATTGATTAGCATCAAATCATTTGAAATATCATAAACAATGAGGCCTTTTCAATCATTTTATCCAGCAGTCTTCTTTGTGACTCAAAAGACTTTTTTTAAACTTTGATCATTCTACAGATGTAATAGTCCCTCACAGAACTCTTTATTTTTCTTATATCTGATACAGAAAATCAATAATGTTAAGCATTCAGTTACAAGATTATGGTGATAAACCATAAGACTGTTAATGATCTTTTAGGTGGAAGTTCCACTCATAAATCTTATTAATAAAAATAATGGTTGGAGCAGTTTTTGGATTCTGATCAACAAGTCTCTAAGAAATAATTGCAGGTCCTTATTTTAAGGTTTTCAAGAACTGAATTGAAAGTTCTAATCTTTGTGGCATATGGCACTCTACCATGACAGTCTGTCAGGAAAAAAGGTCTGTGGTATATTTTTTTAGGATTGCTAACATTCAGACTTTTATATGCAGTACACAGTAATTTCTACTGTGTCCCATTTATGCTACACACAAGCATGATATGTGCAACAGACATTACAGAAATTCTTAAAAGTGTACAGAAGTCTCATTCCTGTGGAGATTTCAGCTTCAGCTGTGCCTCCTAAACAGAGTTCAGCAAGGTACTTACTGATGTGTAGAGGAAACCTTCTCCATTTAGGGCTATATACAACCCAGTCTTTACACCCTGGATAGCGACAACTCGAAGTCCCACTGGTATAAGGTTGAACAATGCTGAGAAGAAAAAACATGACCAGATATAAATATGCTACAGTTAATAAAATAATCTAATAAACATCATTAGCAGAAAAGAAAGATAAACAGTTCCTGTATAATTTTTTATGCTTCTAAAATTAGACTAATGTTGAAAATCTTGCTTCTTTGATTCTGTCAAATAGCTCTTTATTTTCCTGGGCGTTTTTATGCCTTCCAACTAAAAGGTGCCCTCATTAAAGACTGATGTCAAGAGATCTGTGATTTTTTTTTTTTTTTGCTTTTGTGAATGATACATTTGATACAAACAGTAAGACACTGGTGTCATGTAATGACAGAGGCTTATCACAGTTCATAAAAGCACTGAAATATGTGCTTGACTCTAAATGTGCATAAATGTTATTGAACAGAATATAGAACTCGGTGTAATAATTAGAAAATAATTAGAAAACCACCTAATAACAAATACCCTAGAAATCCTGTATACCTCTGTAGTAATCCAAACAGCCACAATTTTAATTACTGTCTGAAGAAAAGGCCAGTGTGAAGAGTGGGAGTTTACCAGCCTCACCACAGAAAAACACAGGTTGTATAAGTAGGTGGCATGAACCAGCTCTTCTAAAACTTATGCCAGCACACACCTATATTACATTGACTGACTCATACTAGAAAATTAGATGCAAAGCACACATCAGTTTTGGAAGAAAAGATCTGGATGAGACAGAGTTTATGCTAAATGTTTTTCCACTGTGGATAAGCCACAGATTCCCAAGTCTTTGGATGAAAACCAAAAGCCCAACCTGTGTATCCAACATATGCAGTGGGGACTATGTTTCTACCAAGTCAGGTGTCAGGAACACAGTAACACCTACAGTGAGTTACTCAAAATTTAAGGACATCCATAGGTGTGACCAAAAAGTGTACTGGATGAGGCTACCTATAAGCTAAAGCCCAAATCAAGAGAAAAATGATCATGTAATTGCAGTGGATAAATACATTTCTCAAGGTGTGAAAATTCCTGTTTGGGCAAAGGACAAAAATCCATCCAGTTTGTTTATGAAGAATATGATAAAGTCTTTAGAACTGAGGAAAAAAAATAGGTAGACTACTAGAAATATAGGCATGTATAAAAAAAAATATACACCTTTCCTTCGAAATTGTCATGCAGAAAAAGAATGTGTAACATCGGATAATTTTAGAAAAACACAAAGCCAATATAAAGCTTTTGGAATTGTAGAAGAGTTCTTCCTAGAGTGGTAGAAAGAAAAATATATTGAAAAAGAGCTCTAGAAGAACTGAAAACAATTTGGCAGGTTTACAAAGAAAATAAAAGAGATTACAAGAATAAGCACAAATAAATAGCATTTTAATTTCTGTCATTTCCAAAATTCTCCATTATGCTAGGATATTACAGTGCTGTTAAATAAAAAAAAAATAAAATGGTACAGATGCTGCAGATAAGGTTCCCTCTCTAATAAATGTAAACCAGTGAAATATGGCACTCACAGAAAAGATATCCTGAGAGTATATAGGCTAAAGACTGCATGGTTTGAGGGATTTTAGTTCAATGTAATTTGGAAGTCAAAAATTAGTTACAAATTCCTCATTATCCATTAATTTCATTATCCTCAAATGAAACAATGTCAAAACCAGCAAAATCACTGTTGTGGGTTGTGGATGGGGAGTCTATCACAGCAAAACAAAGTATCAGATGGCAACTGAATTTGGATTTTTTCCTAGAAGAAAAGAAATTGCAGAAGCAAACCATGCTAAAGGGACTGAAGAAACAATTGAAGGGACACAAAGAAGGAAAAACAAACAATACTTATATAAAGAAAAGAGGTCAACACAAAAGACAAGTCAGCCATGAGAAGCCATCTAATGAAAAATAACTTGTATACATAGTAGTTCAGTCAAAACTTCTGAAATGTAGATATTATTAACCATATTAGCAATAAAATTAAAGCACCAAAGCTAGAAAAAAAAAATCCAACCACCACTGAACAAGAATTACAGGCCTGTAACACAGCAGTGTTTTGTGCAGCCTGTAAAGTTACTGAAGTGGCTTATAATTGCTGGTGAATTCAGAAAGAACTGTAGAAGACACATAATGCATCTTTTACTGCCACCAAATTTTAATTGGAGATTTTCAGAGAGCCTGCAATTAGTCTAAACCCTTACAGTTTTAGAGTGTGACCTGAAATGCTGAAATTCTGCACAGTCAGAATATTCAATAAGCTTCACAGAATCCTTCAGACTTCAGGGAAACTAGGGAAGCCAGTCTACATTCAGCTATTGATTGACAAATGTTCAGCAATGTGTTTCATACTGGGGACAGCAAAACATGCACCAATAAGGCACAGCGTGTGGTTTTAATGCATTTTGAAGCAGGCCAAAAGAAATTCGATTTCCTTCAGAACCTGACTGGGCAGTACTCTTCACTGAGCAAGACTTTTGTGTTCAATTACACATTTCAAACATTCCTAGGATTCCCCTGTGCTATATCTCACTTTAGTATAAACTTGCTCTGAGAAAAGCAAAAAGCCTTCTAGAGTCTGCTGGCATTCCAGCTCTGCACAGCCAAAGATATGCTTTTATCTGAGGGGGGTGCTAAAAAGAGCCACATCCCTCTCTTCCTTCTCTCTTTAAGAAAATGGTCTGAAACCAAAACCTGGGGAGTGAGGTCCCTGAACGTTTTTATGTGCCTGAAGCCAGTTCAGTGAGTCCACATATGAGCTGAGAGGGGGGACACCCTCCAGCAGCCCAGGAAATACAGCGGTGCCGGGTGCTCAATGTTCCCATGCTGCAGGCTTAAGGAGAAAGCCTGGCAATTCCAAATATAAGTAGAACGTGGGAACATCAGGGAAGACAAGGGAACTGATTGGCAAAAATTGTGCAAGTAAAACCCTTTCTCCTTGTCAATGCTAAGACTGCACACTCCCTTAGCTTTGCTTTGTATCCTATCTAAATCACAGCTATAAAGCATTTGTGCTCTCTGCGTTTTTCTAAGGCAAGAGAAGAGACCTTTTCCTGCAAGCCTACTCCCACCACAAAAAAAGATCAGAAAATGGGGGTGGGGACACTTAGCAGGAACAACTGGCATGAAAAAAGGTTATTTTTTTATGTTTCATGGTGGATACTTGCAGGAACTCCAAATCTGAGTTGGATTCTAATCCTCAAAAAGTTTTAGCAAAAGTTTGAGTTCATTTTTTTTTCATAAGCAATCACTCCTTTCTTGAGCAAAACACAAAACCTCTGTATAACTTTTTCCTTCTTTTATGTTATACCAACACAGTCCATTAACTTGAAATCTGAAATGCCTGAAATCAGATATTTCCATATAGTTGTGAAAGTTTATTTAGGTACAACTGACTTGTAGCTACCAGAAAATTGCTATTACAGATCACTGTTTTCCTCAAGAATCTTGGGGCCTCTTCTGCATGCACACTGCCCTCATGGCAGTTAACAAAACTTTCCACACTACCAAATCTCCAATCAGATCAAGGCAACTTCCTCAATTTATTTGCGGGCCCACGGGCAAAAATGACAACTCTATCAAAACATCTCTTAGATTGGCAATGACTGCAAGGAGTTTGGTGTATATAGAGATTTGTCCATCCATTTCTTATGGAGCAAACCAGTTCTATCTGCCCAATCTCACAGAAAACATAATTAATTTTTTTTCTAAGTATGACTGAACATTTACCTGTCAGACTAAGATTATCCCACTGGGAGAAACAGGCTTACCTAACTCCCAGAGGTGGTGTAAGTAGATGAGTAAATGCCTGTATAATTCTTTGAAGACAAACTTCAGTGCAAGCATCAAAACAGTGCAAAAAACCAGTGCAAGCATCAGGCTGCAGATATTTTAGTGCAGTAATCCAAAATTAACATTCATTAATCCAAATTTAACAGCACTGCAGGTGTTTTTTTCCTAATCTTTATGTGCTTTATTTCTATGTAATTATCTCCTTTACCTTACAAGGGTGCTGTAAAGGTTATTTTATGAGTTATGAGGTTATTTTATGATAGTGGTAGGTATTTTATAAAGACATTAAAAAGCTAATACTTCCATATTTGGAAGATATAAATAGAAGTATGTATTAAAAGATGAAAATAAAGGAATGTTAAATGGTTGCAGGATTTCTTGAAGAGCAACTCTACCAGGCACCAAGCACCACAAAGGAAGTAAAGCATTCTGCAGCATAATAAAAGATGTGCACAGCACAGCCAATTAACATTGTCTTGGATAATCACTTTTTCATTTATCAGTTTATGAGATAAGACTACCAATGGGTAATGCTCTTTTAATCAGAGAATATTATAAACATGTTATAAACAAAACTGTAATGTCATAAGGGGTACAAATTGCAACATTTGAGTCTATCACCTATAAAGGAAAGTATCATCATTTATGTTGCACTTTTTCAGTGGTTGTTGGCTGAGATACACTCTAGGTGAGTTAAAACCAGCTGTAGAGCTGAAAGATTCAGGGTTTCAGTCTCAGAAATTAAAAAGTTGAAATTGTCTGTTTCTCAAATTAATTAGACTTCCTACTAAGCCTACCCTTCATTCATGAGACAAAACGTTGAAGATAGACCAAAGCCTAAAGATGAGCTGGTTTAGGTGAGTAGGACAGGAGGAGAATGTAATGCAAGTTACTACAAGCACACGTGGAAAGCGTTTCTATCTTTTTATGATTTCTGTGCAGGAGCTTGTTTTTCCTAATTAATAATGATGAGGCCAGTGAAGCAAGCTGTATTTGCACCTGTGAAATCCAGGAACATTAGAGTAAGTGTGATAGCTACACTGAGTAGGACCTCAGTAACCAAAGCTACAGCTTTAACCACAGTCACTCCTGCCTCTGATACAAGCAAGACACAAAAGAAGACTAGAAACCGAAAGGTATTAGAGAAATTAAATGTAAAAAAAATATAGCTAAAACAATATATTAAAGACTGGGGCAAAAAAAAATATTACAGACTGTACACCCAAGATTGTTTGGCTAACAGCCTTAATTTGGGAAAATGATTTAAGGAAACTCAGCACCATTAACCAACAGGTGCATTAATTACCATTGTTTTATGAAACGTCATTATCTTGGAAAAGTTATACAACAAATTTACAACAATGAACTGAAACCTGTTGGTCTGTTTAGGTTGGGTTCTAATATCATGGCCATCAACATGAGTAGACGAAAGTACATTCATGCAATTGCATATCACGTCTTCCTCCCTTTTTCAAGTTTCTTGCACACAGTGATACACTAAAAATCCTGTCATCTCTCTCTGCAGTCTCTAGCCTATACTCAAACTGGGACAATGAGTAGCTGATTAAAACAGCTGGTACTACTCATTTTGATTTCAGATAGAAGCAAATCTTAATCTTAGTTTGAGCTATCTTTCTATAACACTGTGACTCCAAAAGTGTGTAAAGTTATGTTTACTGATATACTTGTAAAATAAGTACAAATTTATATAGGTACTTGAGGGAATTTTACCTTAAAGTACTTCTCTAACTGCTTGACACAGAATACATAGCAACAGCACAAAAAGTAGCAGCATGACTAAGCTTCAAACAGTTTCCTTGCTGAAGACAAAAAAGAAACTGCATCTTTTTTCTCTCACTCACTCCTTGCTCCCTCTGGCTTCACTGACACCCAGTTACTCAGTGGGCTCTCTTCAGGGACAGTGAATAGTGCAGAAGACAGGTGGAAGGCTGGCAGAGATGCACACCCTTTGGCAGTCTATATTTCCTTTTTTTTATGAAACACACTTTGAATGGAAGTCATCCTCACTATCCAGGTAAGCATTCTATCTGTCCTATGGACAGCTGATACATGTCCATCCCTTCACCCACTGGGCACATTAAATGGGCAGCCTGCAAGCAACACAGTCAGAAGCAGGATTTTCTCCCTTGGGCAGCCAAAAGTTATTCACTTGTAAGCCTCAGACAGAAATTATCATGCTAAGGAGCTCAAAAAATAAAATATCAAAACACTAGAAATTCTACCTATTAGAAAATTATTGCTTTAAGGTGAAAGAGAGAAGGAAAAACAAAATATACTACAATAAAAAAGCAGTAGGAAAAAGATTTCAATAGGAAATGAAAGGCAACAAAATGGAAAGGGAAAAAACTAAGACTGGCAGCACAAGAGAAACAAACACATATTCATACAATAATGAATATACCAAATAGGTAAACATTTTCAGCTCTTAATATAGTGTTGATACATATATGCAAACAAAATTTCAGATGTAGACTGTAGGCCTTCCTGGCAAGCACATTAATTTTGCAATCTTCTGTTCTAAACTGTCTTTACGAAAAATATTGGAAAACGGGAGTAGTTAGGAAAAAAAAAATTCCACCAGTTAAAGACAGAAAAAAATGCTTTTGTGGAAAAAAACTTCCACAACTTTTTAGGCAAGAAAAATAATTTTGGAGTAAAGCAAATGATCTAACAATATTTATGCAAAATGCACAATTCTTCTATATGGTATTTGGTTGAGTTTGGAGAAGTTCAACATTTCAGAATATTTATAATATAGAATATCCATTCCACATATTGGAAAAAGAAGAATAAGGGAGATGGGCAGAGAGCTGGAAAATCAGAAATGCACAGAAGAGGGGAAAGAGTGAAAAAAAAAGAGGATGATTTGTGAATCTGACAACATCAAAAAGAGAAACGTAAGACACTGTGGTCTAGCTTTGAAAAGGCTCCACATCCATAGAGATTTAAGAGTTAAAAAACCTCTCAGAAATAACAATAAAACATTGCAAAATTGTTGCAGTCATACACACCTTCTTGCTGAAGCTGAAAATAAGAGCTGGGCAGAGGGAGAGAGATCTGCACTTATACCCTAAGACAGCTCTTAGAACTCATCTAGGCAAAGCTTCTATAAAAAGTGAGAGTAATCCTGCCTTGTTTCAGGTCTTAGTATGTACTCCAGTACTGAAGTGGGTATGAGAGATGGACACATGGAGGGAAGAAAAGAAACAAAGATGGGGGTGGGACACAGAGGGCATGGAAGGGGAACAAAAACACCTGGACAGATACACATAAAAATATATTAAACAATTTTTCTCAATTAAAAAAACCTCCAAAACAAACCATAAAAGATGATCATCCTATCTGCTGATGAAAGGTGTTATAAATGACAGCTGTGCATCAATTAAAACAAGGATTTTACCAATGTAAGGCAGAAACCCCAAATACCTTAATTTCTGCAGCCTAATTTCAACATTTTTAAGGAAACTAAGGGGTTATTTATGTATGCATAATAAGAAGATAAATCTTGTGCATTAAAAGTGCTTAAAATAAAATTCAAGATGACACAGAAATGTTACTTAAATTTGTCATGATAATTAAAAGAAACAAATCAAAAAACAACTGTTTCTCGAGTAAGAATAGGTTTAATTATCATTTGCAGCTGAAATTGTCAAACATATATATATATATATATATATATATATATATATATATATATATATATATATGCTCATTGAATGAAAATAGGTAGCAGTATCATAGGAAAAGCACACCAAAGCAGCAACCCACACGGCCTTTCAAGACCGCTTTTGTTTGGAATATTTTTTAAGAACTGCCACTTTTGCCATCTCTACAGTGGCAAAAAAAATCTTTTAACATCATTGGAATTCTGGCTGGCGTAGGATTTTTAGCCCTAAAATTTTTAGTACCTTCAGCAAGGTAATTTAGCTTGTGTTTTATGAAGGTCTTTGATAGTTTAGCATACATTTACTTGCTTGTAAATTCAGATTTTTCTGGGAAATTAGTTTCCATGTCTTGTTATTTCTTTGTTACTTATTGGAAAATAAGAATTTTTTGTTAGATAAAGAGTTTTTATTAAAAAATTATTTTAATATAATTTTACCACTTTTATAAAATTATCAGAAGACATTCATTGGCCTAAATATCTCCCTCCTAAGGTCCATGAGCACTTACGCCTTCCCCTTCGGAGGCAACACACTTAGGCCAATGTCCTGCACGAGCCATGCTGGTGGTCACCAGGTTTCGAAGGGACAGAACCCTCCTCCTTGGGATAACACACATTCAGAAACCCTCCAAAGGCAGGCAGGCAGGCAGGCAGGCAGTACCACGGTGCCTGTGCATACACATTCGAGCGACGCGGTCTGCGTGTGCGATTACGACATTCCCCTGGGGCAGTCACTTACTAGAATTACTGCTGTCATCCTTGGTTCCATCGAGACTTCCATCGGGGTGCATTTGCAAGTAGTAGCCTTGCCTGCAATATAACCTGGTCACTATACCCTTGAGCTGGGGATCTGAAAGACAAACATATTTTGTCACTAGCCTCAAAACTTTTTCCAAGAGTTATCCCTACTTCTCTCACTTAGGAGGATGTTTGGTGAAGCAGCAATGCTGTCTTAAAAGTAAGTATTACAACAGGATGTGTGCTGATGGAGATGGAGAAAAATCGCTCTGCAGAGTGTTGTTAGGTCAGTTCTATGTCCTGTTCTCTACCTCCAAAATCCTTCATTATAATTAATACAGGTAAAACAGAGAAAAAAGGAACACCCAAAATATCCACAGTCAAAAGTTTAAACCATATTAAGCCCTGCAAAAAATTAGAGACTACAGCAACAAGTATAGACCATTATAGAAACTAACAAGACATTTGAAAAAATTTTTGAAAAAATACCTACTGCTTTTTCAAATATATTATATTTAAAATACAGCAACTTATTGTACTGCACATAAGGTTTAAGGAAACTGTGAAGAAAAGGTTTGTTTCATTTCCTATCAAAAGTGGTAAACTTATCAGGTGCAATTTGTAATAGTATCATCAGAAGTTCCCAGATTACTTTAACCAAGCAAGAAGCAGATCCAACTCACCTGCCCTCTCCCACCCCCCAGGGAATAACACTCACAATCAGGGCAAGACATAAACTTTGTTCATCAGAAAGAAAAAGCTGAAAAAGCTCTCAGTAAGATAAAGCTACGGCAAATCCGGGTAGCTTGGAACAACGAAGGTTTTCCATTTAATACTCTGCATTTATGAAAACTGCCAAGAATCAGGCATGAAGTGCTGAGCCACAAATTCTTTGATTCAAAGCACAGATGTTGCCTTACCAAACCACAAACTGAGCTGTTCCAAAATTGTTTCAGAGAAAGAAGGCATTGCATCTTTAAAAAATTCAACAGAACTACCTCCATGTGGTATCAGTATTAATATTGCTAAACATTAACTGTTAGGCCCAGTTCCAGGCAGCCAGTACATAAATTTGGAAGAACACTGGCATTAAAATATCTATATCATATCATGCGTAGCTGTGCAATAATGAATTAAATTCATAAATACTTTGATACCTATATATAATAAAATAAACATGTGAACTTCAAAGGAAGACAGAAAGCATTTTCATGCAAGCCTGTGGGCAGAATACAAAATTTGTATATAATTGCTCTCACAATTAATCATGCTGGGTTACTTAGAGTATCCTAAGGGGATGTAAAAACAAACAGTGGTAAACAAAACTGCCTCTAAATGGTATGTACTGAAATTTCTGTAGAGGCTCAGTTCTATGAAATTATCCAGTAAATGTTTTTATTGAATATCCAAATTACAAAGACATATTAAACAATAAGACCATCTGAATTAAAAATACAAGTTAAACTGTAAATATAATGAAAAACTGTTACTATAAATAGTAACACTGTAAGACTGCTGAGGCATGGAAATAAATAATATGGACAATGAAAGATCAACATATAAGCATATGCAACTTTAATTCAAAATGAAAATTTTGCTTTCTGTAAATTTTTACATTATGAAAAGTTTGTCTTTCTATATGAATACTCAGAAACAAATATTTTAAAAAATTTAAACATAGTAAACTGTAATTTATTTGAATGTACTCTTTCCATCAATTTCATCAGGTGATTCAAAAGTATTTTCATAATTTAAAAATGAAAATTGAGCTCCTTTTACACAGGCACTATTCCTGACAATGTATGCTTTCAATGTATACTTCAAATTGACAATTTTAAACATGTTTGCTTAACACTCATTAAAAAGGCATCTTTAAAGACTAAATAAAAGTATAATAAAAATATTATTAAAACCAGATCTTTAAAAATTATTTACAGGAAAAGTATCAGCATTTTGAAAAACACTTTCTATACCCTAAAGAATAATGAATAAATGAATTTTTATCAAAATTTTCTAGTGCAAAGATATTTCATAGGAAGGCAAAGTACAGTCAACTCTCTGTCACCAGCTGATTACATCTACTACTTCAAGGGAAAAATCTCAAACTTAGAAGTTACTCTCAAAGTTGTTTTTTATACTCATTCTATTCAGTTTTCTAAATTGGCAAATTAAATATAGTTTCTAATAATAATTAATCTGTTTTAATCAAATGCGTTATTTAAAATATACCCTGCTTTACCAGCTATCCAAAATTATATCTGAATGAGAGTGAAATGACACATCAATCTTGATTCAAGTCATAATAAGCAATAGTCACAAAGACTACTCCATACATCTTCAAGGTAAATATCTCCAAGATGAAGCAGACAATCCTGTCAGGCAAGAAGTTTATCTCTACTCCTTGCAGAAAGATAAGTTACCCTTTCATGTCCTTTTTGAGACATCTGAGCAGCAAGCAGAGAAGAGAAATCTGCTTGTCCCTGTATTTCTGTAGCATTTTATCTGCCCTTTTTCTCTTAATAATATTACAGGAACAGTCTTAGCTTCAGGTGATTTACAAATGAGTTTCTCAAATCCTTGTTGGCCACACTTTTTAATTTAATTTGTTTTGGCTGTCTGCTAGACAGCAGGACTTAGCAACAATGCCCAGAAACAACAGCAGAAGACTGGGGCTACCTGTCCACAGGTGTACTGGGTGTGTCACCTTTTTTAACTCTTACCAGAGTGACAAAGACAGACAGAGCAGCATTTATTCTTACCCTTTAACACCCACACTCGCTTTTATCTTCCTACATATAAGAGAAAGAGAATGGCAAGAAAATACAGCAAAAAATAAAGCAGAAACAGGATGAGAGGAGACAACCTGACCAAAGAGCTCCCAGTTCTCATGATTTTATCATAGAAATTTTGCTACTAGTTCTCTTTAAGTCCTAGCTGTCAGAGTGAGGCATTTATAATTTCTATTTAAATAATATAATTTCTATTTAAACACCTTGATTTCAGGGGAAATGAAACTAAAAAAAAAAGCAAACTTCACCATGCATCAAAAATTATGGAAGAGTTTGACATCTCCTAATGGTTTTTATCAATTTTTTTCCACCTTGTTCCAAGGCTGAACAGTTCAGCATGACATGTCAGCAATGCTCTATGTTGGGAAAAATTATTCTGACTTGTCATTATTAGAGGTTGTCTCTTAAAATTCAAAGCTCTACTGAATGGACAAAGCAACACCTCCTCAAGCCTCTCTTTCACAGCAATCTATGTGACAGAAGCCACTTGCAGCCCACTTTTCTTGCTTTTTTTTCTTGTCAGTGGTGATGGCAGGATGCATGATTGCAGTTAGCATGAACACTCTGTCAGTATCTTTTTGATGTCCTCAACAAAGGCACAGTTTAATTAAGATGTCTTCTCTCTCAAATAGTGGCTACAAAAATGACTTTGGCATTAACTCATGATGGGCTGAGTGCAGTCCTTGCTTTAGCAGAATTATGACACTTTATGTTTTGAATAGTGAATATTTTCTGTTCACACAGAGAATGGCTTTCACATGTACTTCCCCACTCCAACACACTGCCAGGACAGATGTATTTAGAATCTTTATAGACTTAAATAAACTAGGGAAAAAAACCTTATTAAATATGAGTGTTAAAACATAGATGAATTTAAAATGCTAAAAGAACAGTGGTGAATATGCCTATTGTATATTTTAAAAATTAGTCCCTTAGCGTCCATTTGAGTTTTAATTGTTAGTTTTTACCAGAGTAAAGCTTTTTTNTTTTTTTTTTTTTTTTTTTTTTTTTTTTTTTTTAGTGTCATTATTTATTTCCTCCCTCTTTTGTGCAAAGGCACTAAATAAATGTCTGCTGACAAGCAAATGCTTGATGGGAGGGGTAGTCTCACATCTTATGGAGAATAAACTGTCTCACATTCTTATGGAGAACAAACTTCACTATCCAGTCAGCTACCAGTCTGCCACAAAATGAGTCACTCAGTGAGCCAAGTAAAAGCCAGTATTTAGAGGTACATTCTGTTCAGATAGCAGAGCATCAAACTCATGATAACAGCTCCAGGTAATTCTTATTTTACTCGTCCTTTATTCTTTGCATTCTATTCAGTAGTTTTCACTTGTGTATACTCTAGTACCAAAAGTACCACTCATATTGAGCCAGAAATAAAAATACAAAACAAACAAAAAACCAGAGTATTTTTTATTTATGGTTTATGGTACTCTGACATGACTTGGCTGTCATGTCTTGCTTGCTGATGTTATGGTCAGCATTTGTTAGGAATCTTCTCCCTCATCTATTAAACTTTATTGAAATATAATAAAACCACATATTCTGTATTAGATATTTTTAAAAAGTCAATCCCCCAGAAACCTGCAACCACAAAATTCCTTTTGTACCTGGGAAGTAAAATACCCACCCAAAGTCCAGAGTGTCTCATCCACTCCAGGTACATCTCCCTATTATTCTATAAAAGTCCCTTTTCCTGACTTCTCACACAAAAGTACTCTAACAGTAGTGTGTGTATAGGGTGTGTTGGACTGGAATTCTTGCCATCTCTCTTGCTGAAGTGTCTCTACTTTGTATAAAAAATAATTAACCCTCTTCAGGCAGGTTAGACCCCATCCACTATACCACAGTCCTAGACATCTTCAACCCCTCACCGACTTCTGCACAGAAACTTTTTGTTGCTTGAGATTAATGTCTGGATAGTTTTTAAAAGTTAAAAAATGTCTCTGTGGTGCTTAGTATTTTAGAAACTTTCCACTAAGCAATTCAACAGTGGAAGCAGGGAAAAAGTTCCATATAAAAATTACATTTTCTTTTTTCGATTCTCATTTCAGGTATTTCGATTCCTGCTGTAATGCTTTTCCAAGTTTTCAAAAGCCATCTTCTTCTCAAGTGTACTGCTTCTGCTATATTGCAACAGTACTCAAACAGGTACAGTTATTAGGATGATCACATTGCATTTTGCCTTGTTTATGCCAAGCCTTGCATTGTCATTGCAACACATAAAAGTGCAGGGTCCTCTGAAATGTGCGTTATACAATCATAACGACAAGCTTCCTGAAGCAAGTACATTGCCAATGGGGAATTCAAAATGCAG